AGAGGACAAAACTGTTCAAAAAAACAGCTCCTCCCATCTTGTGCCCTTCCTCCTGCTCTTTGCTCCTGAGGTCACATCTCTCAGAATGCACTGTGCTACCCTAGCACCCTGTCCTCCCTGCCCAGCTGTCACTGGGGTGTGACGTCTCCATCTGAATGTGGAAAGTTATGTAGGTGAAGGGATAAGAAGGAGCTGTTCTTAGGCTCTGTCATAGATCAACACCCAAGGAGTAGGAAGGGAGATCACCCTGAGTTTTGATCAATGCAACCCCTGTATCTCTGAAAAAAGAAGACAACCAGTGGGGATTCACATTCTCTTTTACCAGATGGTCTGTTTCTTCAAGCAAATCCTGGCATTTCTATGAACTCAAGTCTTGTGGGTTTTCTTCAGTCTACATTTATCTGCCTTATAAATGGCAGCATTGTATTGTTTATTAAGCTTTTGGTCATTTTTACAAGTTTTAATCTTTTTCTATACCTTCACAAGTTGCTGCTTGAAGCTAAAGAGTTTGTTTCCTTTTTCATAATAGCATCCCTTCCAATGATATCATCCCACCTGTGGCCACTTCCTCCTAGTTCTCTTTCAATCTCTGGCCACTCCTTTGCCGTGTTCTTTACAAAATTCATTTATGATGCTCTTTTTCGGATGTTTGCATAGTCTGGGGCATGGTTCTATGCTTTAGTCTCTTGTTAGTCCACCATTTTTCCTACTTGATCTCATCTAGTTCAATGGCTTCAATTATCACATAATACTTGAGGCTGACTTCCAAATACATAATTCTACCCAAATGGCTTCATCTGTTCAGGCTGCTATAACAAAATACCATAAACTGGATGGCTCATAAACAACAGGAATTTATTTCTCAAAGTTCCAGAGGCTGGGAAGTCCAAAATCAAGGTGCTGGCACATTCAGTATCTGGTGAGGGCCTGCTTTTTGCTGTGTCCTCACATGGTAGAAGGGGCAAAGATGTGCTTTTGAAACCTCTTTTATAAGCGCACTAACTGCCCCCACAAAGGCTCCACATCCTAATACTCTCATAATTAGGGACTCAGTATCAACATATGAATTTAGGGAGGCAGGGGACATAAACATTCAATCTATAGTACCAAACCTGTCTCTCCTGAGCTCCAGACCCATATTTTAAACCACTTACTAGACAATATCCTCACCTCTGCCTCATTATCAACTGACCAAAAACAAAATCATCATTTATCTCCCAAACTTGCTCCATTTCCTTTGTTCTCTAATTTAGTAACTTGCCCCTCCATTAACTCAGCTAACCAAGCTAAAAATGTGATTATATTCCTTTTCTCATGTATTCAACTAGTTACCAAGTTCTATTAATTCTACCCTCCTAACATCTTTCAGGTATCCTTTTTTAACCCTCTTCACTGCCACTACCTTGCTTTAGAGCAAGCTTGTCCAATCCATGACCCACGAGCCACATGTGGCCCAGGATGGTTTTGAATGCAGCCCAATACAAATTCAAAAACTTTCTTAAAACATTATGAGTTTTTTTTGTGATTTGTTTTAGCTCATCAGCTATTGTTTGTGTTAGAGTATTTTGTATGTGGTCCAACATAATTCTTCCAACGTGGTCCAGGGAAGCCAAAAGATTGGACACCCTGCTTCAGAGCCCATATTAGTTTAAGTGTTGGTTTTTTTTGGTTTTTTTTTTGTCATAAACTGCAGAAATGAACCCCAAGAAAATAAAGGATTTATTTGAAAGAATATTAGGAAAGCTCACAGAACTGAAGGGAAAATTTTATAGTCATGTTTTAGGAAGGACTAGATCAGGGCAGCTCTGGGGCCCTTAGCAGGTAGAGCTCAGAGCTCAGAGTCTTCTAGCCTGGGACACCACATGAGGTGGCTCAGGTGCAATCATCTTTCAGCTCTGTGTGTCTTTATCAAACTTTCAAATTCTTAGTATAACCTGGTTGGTCACCTTTGAATTCGTCATCCAGGGCTGGGAGACAGGAGTGAATGGCACTAATTTGTGATGGCTATGGACCCTTATAATTTCTCAACCCCTCCTCAGTACTGTCATAGACTTCTCAAGGACCTCTTTTCATCTTTCCAATGTCTAGTTCTTGTGTCTTTCCAATCTATAGTTCACATGCCACTATTTTTGTATTTCTAAAATATATATTGTTCAATAAGGAGATTATATCTCATTTAAAATCTCCTGATAGCTCTTCATTACTCAGAATAATCCACAAACTTCCTATCAGATAGTTCATTTTAGGATTTGGATCCTGTCTACCTCTCTAGTCTCACCTCTTACTACCCTTCCCCTAAATCTTATGTTCCTGGCGTACTGCAATTACAGTATTTTCAATTCCCCTAAATAAGCCAGGCTTTGTTGTATTCTTATGTTTTTGCCTGTGCTTCTCCCTCTTTCTCATATGTCTGTTCTCTCACCACCTGGTTAATTCACACTCAATCTTCCCCAGCTCAGTTTAGGCAGTAGTTCCAAATCTCTCCCAGTCTCTTCTCAGTCTGGGTTAAGTCCCGTTCCTCATTCCTTCCATAGTACCCTAAACTTAGATCTAATTTGGCATTCCACTCTGTTGCAATCAATCGTTTCTTTTTTCTTTTCTTTTTTTTTTTTTGAGACAGAGTCTCGCTCTGTTGCCCAGGCTGGAGTGCAGTGGCCAGATCTCAGCTCACTGCAAGCTCCGCCTCCCCAGTTTATGCCATTCTCCTGTCTCAGCCTCCCGAGTAGCTGGGACTACAGGCACCTGCCACCTTGCTCGGCTAGTTTTTTGTATTTTTTAGTAGAGATGGGGTTTCACTGTGTTAGCAAGGATGGTCTCGATCTCCTGACCTCGTGATCCACCCGTTTTGGCCTCCCAAAGTGCTGGGATTACAGGCTTGAGCCACCGTGCCTGGCCTCAACCGTTTCTTTATCTCTCTTTCTGGCTAAACTGTGAGCTCCTAAAGGAGCTCAAGAATTACATCTGATTTATGTTTTGTTCTCATCACCTAGGAGAGTGTCTAATGTGTCATAAATGTTCAGCAAATATATTTAAATAAGCAAATACTAGTTTTGAATGCATAAGATACAAAGCACTTGGTGGGGGGGCAAAAATATGTTTAAATTTTACATTTCCACTTTTAAGGGACTGACAGCTTAAGAGGCAGACAAGACCCACACAAAAGAAAAGTGCAAGTAGAGCTACAAGATACTACACAATGACATGCACAAAACCCAATGACTATAGTCTAGAGTTTGGGATTGCATTAATCTAGAAAATCTTCTGTTTAAAGGAGCGACCTGAGTAGTAACATAAAGAAAGATTCAGGGCTTGGCGTGGTGGTTCGCACTCCAACCTGGTGACAGTGCGAGACTCCATCCCCCCCAAAAAAAAAGAAGAAGAAGAAAATTCAAATGGCTGAAGAGATTGGGGACAGCATTTTGAGTATGGGGAATAAGAAAAAATGCTCACTGTTTTTGAAGAATGCAGTGAAAACATTGGCTTAGGTAGAGGTAGATTAAGAGATGGTGAAGAGGTGTGTGTGTGTAGGGAAGTCATAAGCTGGAAAAATAAGAAATTGACAGATTTTGTTTAAATATGCCTTTAAGTTTTGGCCTTTTCATTCTCTGTCTCCAACACAGAACACCTCAGTATTCTAGATTGCCTATTCATCACAAATTCTCTCTGTCTCCTCCAGAATCCAGAAAAGAATAATTAAGATATTTTCAAAATGGAAAGTTCCCATGCCAAAGATTTTTGCCTTCTTCACCAAACTATGATTTCCTGATGTTCTTAAAGGTAGTGTTCACCAGGTTTTTCCATTCTTATTTTGAATGTAGTTTTTGTGTTTGTGTGACTTGTTTTTCAGCCTGGGCTGCAGACTAACAACCCAGGACTTATACTGCCCAATTTGACAGCTCATTTTTATTTTAGTTTCAACATATACCTGAACTGGACTTACAATTCCAGAAAAATTAAAGGTGAGAAAAGGGTGAAAAGCTTATTAGTCTATTTCCCTAGAAGGGAACTTTAAGTGTTTAGCCCAGTCTTGTCATAAACTCTAGAAATCATCTTTAGGGTTTGTCTAGACAATCAAGTTAGACATAAACCCCTCTCTATGGGCTTTCCACTAAACCTGTGGGCTTCGTAGGAACTTGGGCTGATGTAGGTCTTTTCAAAGTTCTACTTAATTGTCAAGGCCCCTATAATGTGATTCCATTCTACCTACCTGCTTTTATTTCTTCCTACTTAACAACAACAAATAACCTTCCAATTAGACTACTTCATATACCATCCTGCGAGGTTCTGCTCAAGCTCCACATCCTTTAGGAAACATCTCCAAGGCTCATTGACCTTTATTTTCTCTAAATGGTAGGCTCTACCTTATCAGCTTGTATCTTCCATTTCTAATGGTCTATATCAAAAAGTATAGCAATCCTCCCACCCCCAATATATACACACACTTTTCCCAGGTTCTCAGGCCTAACCTATGGATGAGCATGCCTTTGTTGAGAGGAGAAGAAAATTGAAAGATGGCTGCTTCTCCACCTTTAGCCTTCTACAGACACATGTGAATTAATTTTATTCAGATCTTTTTATATTTAAATCTTATCACTATCATGGAATTAGAATGTCACCTTTAAATCATTTAGTTAATACTTTCTGTTCTGCAGATAAGGAAATTGAGACTCCAAGAGATAAAGTGACTTACCTAATATATGAGCATGTATTTGTCATTATTGCTTTACATTAGATAATTGCTTTCTCCCACCTCCCCGCATTTGTCAAATAAACTTAACTTCTAAGAGCAAGCATCACATGTCTTGTGAATTTTCTACATCTACAATAGCACATATTAGTCTTTTCTTGTTTCCCATACAGGCTCAAGAATGGGGCTGAGTACACACTGTGTGCTAAGCAAAGAATATTTGGATTGAATTGAACCCCTGCAGAACGTGGACTATTCAGAGACACTGAATTTGGCCTTGGGTGAATACCTGCCTTGGGTTGGCCAACTCGCAGTCAACAGCAATGAGCCAAAAGAGACAAACCAAGTATGTAGTCTTGTTTGCCCAACTAAGTTATAAATACCACTTTATATTAACTTATTGCATAGCCCACAGCACTTTGAATGGGGTTGGTCACAGAGTAGACTATCATTAAACATATTTTAATTGACTGGTTGTTCCTGGATCAAAAACCAGATCTTGGTCTATACTTCATGCAACAACTAAAGGAGCTTTTATCAAAAAGAAAGCACCAGCTTGTTCCAGATGGACGCTGTTGGGCTAAAGAAGCGCTTTTCATATAGTTCTATGCCTTAAATTGGCTCTGAAGAAGAGTGTCCGAGATTCTGTGCTTCCTTTTAGGTATCAAAGAATCACTTTGAAAAGTGCTACAGTAAATATTATATTGTATTACTAATTATTAGATAACAATGCAATAAGACCTATTAAAAGGGCACAAACTTTAAGATGTTAAGTTGGGATAAATTTTGGTCTCTCCATCATGGGTCACCTACTCCACTTGCAACCATTTTTAAGACCTCTGACCTGAGTTAATGGTACAACTGGTGGCCAGCAACAGATGGAAGATAGCCATCCTTGAATGGGATTTAATCATGGATTTGGGGATTATTTGTAGCATGCTATAGCCAGTTGACCTACAAACTACATAGTTTGGCTATTTCTACCTTTATTTTGGTCCTTATTCTGCTATCCTCATTTTTAAAGGAGAGAGGTCTAGTTGAGATAGTTGCATAATTCTTAATTTGAGCTAATTTAACCCCCCAATGGAACTATCTCCAAGGAAGAAGCAGGCCATTCATCTTAATCATTAACCAAATCTTACTGAGGAGTATTTTACATTATGTTCTGGCAGCAAATGGGTTTAAAAAGAATAGCAAAGAATAGAATCTGTTTCACCCTATTTTCTGCAAAGAGAATTGGTATTAGGGTGAGGGTAAAAGAGCAGAGTACAGAAATATTTGCCATTGTTGATTATGTTTACTACCCTAGTTCTAAGAAGAGAAGTCTTCAGAGATGTGGTTAGGAAGACACAAGAGCCAGTAATCCAAGCAAGGTCAACAAGAATTGGAAACTTAGTTGTGTGGTTCTATTAACTATATTCCTTCTCACAGATTCATTGGCTAATCATTGGCCAATCACTGGCAAAAATAGGGCAATTTCCATGTGGAAGAAGAATAGGCAGGTAAATATTCAAAACAGTAGGTGGTTTTTAAGGGTATTGTGAGGATCTAACTGCCCAAAATAATTTCCTTAAGCAGTCTGTTAGAGCACTTCTGTGAAAGGTCTAAAATCCTTATTTTTAGAAGAAACCAACTCAATGGATGTCATTGAGTCATCCAAAAGGTGCCATTTGTTTAACTCTCTAAACTGAAGTCTTGCTTTTCCCTAGCATGCAGACTGGATAATGAGTCCAGTTTTTTTACTACTTAGTCAATTAGTGATGTGATCACCTAAATTGGACTTGCCTGAGTCAGGCCTCCAAACTTCCTTGAGGGAAACTGACAAGATGCAGAAGGCCAGGCCTCTGAGCCAGAAAGTGCAACCGGATGTTCTGCCTCTTTTTCAGGTTTCAAAACGGCAAATCAAAGACATCAGAAAATAGCTCAGCTAAACGTGAGAAAGGAATGGTTGTCAATGGCAAAGAGGTAAGGAGCGTTATTAAGTGTTCAATGTTTAATTTTTCTTTGGAGTTGCTTAGTGTACTTAGTAAGCTGGGTGTCACAAACTTTCCTATTGAAAAGCAAAAAGGAGTAAAAATGTATGTAGAAAACAAGGTTAACTTGTCAAATGTTATTAAAGAGAAATAGAGCACAGAAAAAGAAGGAACAGGACACATCGGCAACAAATTAGGACATAAAACCCAGGAAGCAGAAACTTACCTTAGGGAGTAAGAGCGTGTCAAACCCTAACTTATGCAGACTTTACAGCTACCTCTTGTAGCAAAACTCCAATGGGTATCTTGGTTGTTTTCCTATGTTTACCACATTCAAGTGAATTTTCCAGGCCAACTTTTATTTAATCAGCCACAGATAGTGAAATTCAACATAACAGAACTAAAAACACATTCCAATTTGGACAATCTTGTGGGTTTAGTCAACTGCTAGAGGCTAATTCGGAACAGATATGCAATACTTCAGAAAACTTCAGGAGTAAAAACATTTTCACCAGGGACTTTCCCCCAAAAATTATTTAAAAAAAAAAAAAAAAAAAAAACCTATAAAGGAAAAGGTCTTCATACCTTTCTCCCAAATAAGTTTTTGCTAATTTCTATGACTCTAAATATGTCATACATTTCATAATTGTAAAGCAGGTTTTTCATAATATATTTCTGTTTTCAACAAATGAATTTCAGTTTTCCATAAGGCGGTAAAAATTAAATAATTGAGTCTTTAGATCCATCCCACCATCTCACAGTTCATCCCACCCTCTCTAAAGGAATTTGTGGAGTGGTTTTGCTATGCTTTTTCCTGCTCCTTTTCCAACTGCCAAGAATTGCCAACTTCTGGCCTTTTCTTCCTGGAGCATAGCAGGATCTCCTCTTACCTCATAGTTCTGTCCCATTCTGACTGCTTCCCACTTCTCCATTAGCCCTCTTGCTTTATTCACTTTTCAGTGCATGTTCCCTTTCCTCTGTACACACCTTACCATACTGCCTCCCGATAGGGGAGGTATGACAATCTTTAGAAATGCTGAGCCAGGCTGGGCGTGGTGGCTCACACCTGTAATCCCAGCACTTTGGGAGGTCAAGGTAGGAGGATCACTTGAGCCCAAGAGTTAGTCAACACAGTGAGACCCCCATCTCTACAAAAAATTAAAAAATAGGCCAGGCATGGTGGCTCACGCCTGTAATCTCAGCACTTTGGGAGGCCAAGGCAGGTGGATCACTGGAGGTCAGGAGTTCGAAACCAACCTGGCCAATACAGTGAAACCCCATCTCTACTAAAAATACAAAAATTAGCCGGGTGTGGTGGTGGGAGCCTGTAATCCCAGGTACTCAGGAGGCTGAGGCAGGAGAATTGCTTGAACCCAGGAGGCAGAGGTTGCAGTGAGCCAAGATCATGCCATTGCACTCCAGCCTGGGCAACAGAGCAAGACTCGGTCTCAAAAAAAGAAAAATAAATAAGCAAATAATAATAATAGCTAGGCATGGTGGCACATGCCTGTAGACCCATCTATTTGGGAGGCTGAGGCGGGAGGATCACTTAAGCCCAGGCGTTCAAGATTATAGTGACCTATGATTGCACCAATGCACTCCAGCCTGGGGGACAGAGTGAGACCCTGTCTTTAAAAGAAAAAACAAACAAAAAAAGAAAAGAAAAGAAAACAGAAATGCTGATCCAAACACAGGATTATGAGGCACTCTTCTTTTTTTCTGATTTCTGATTATGCCAAGCCAGAAGAAGATAATTCAGAGCTTTTATCTCCTTGTATTCCTATCTCCTTGATTCATCCTTAGACAGGGCTATGCAAGAGGAGAAGCAAGAACACTAGGTCAGCAGAAAGGGAATGGAAAAGGCTCAGCTCCTCTACTACCAGATATGACACTCAAATAATCCACTAATATCCAGGACTACCACTAGTTAAAAAAAAAAAAAGCAAAGTGCTAGACAGAAGTGTTACCAAAATTCAATTACTTTTTGCAACATTTCTGGAAGAATTTCATACTGCAGAGATGTTCAAAATTGCAACATGCACTGCTCTTCCTTTCTCTGTGAGTAGGCTGGCTGCCAGCTCAGTTGGCAGAGTTGACCCAATGGCCCCCTTGCACCCATAACTTTTAGGTTAATGCCCTTTTGAAACTTGCTTTTCTCCTTAAAGATTTGTCCTCCGTGTTGATTTTCACCTCATTTCACTCCTATAGCTATGGAAAAGGCAAAAGAAAGAGGTGACTCCTTGGAAAGATTTGTCCCAGTCTGAACTGATGCTGCCCTACTCTACTTCCCCTCCTAACGGCTTTCCCTGACATTTCATAAGGCTGGCCCCATTTCCGCTGACAAATGTCATGGTCAGGAGGTCTTAGAATCCAGGTCTCCTTGCTGGGGCCCTTGTTCTGGAAACCTAGAGTACAAAACCTGAAGCACACTGTACTTCTCACTTAGTGTAAGTTAGAGACCAGTTCTCTAGTGAGACTAAGGTGAGGTAAGGAATGGAATACTGTTTAGGATACATGCAACTTCAAACCACTAACTTTGATTATCCTCTTTAGATTTATGATGCAGTCGGGCGATCAAAATTTGTTCTAGAAAACCTTCGGCATTACACAGTCCATCCAAATTTGGTAGGTAGAAAAAGCATTCCCCCAAGATCTCTAAGGGGAAGTTTCAGCAGTAGTGCAGATGCCCACTGCGAGTGTCCCTAATGCCTCCAAGTGTCCCCAGCTTCTGTGAGTGGGCATACTCTCAGGACAGGCAGACAGAGCTGCATTTAGGTTACGATGCCAGAGGCAGTGCTGAGGATTGGGGTGGCAAAGTGGGAGACAAGAACTGGGAAGAAAGTGGGTCCCCACCGCTGATTTGTTTTAAGTTGAGAAAACATATTTATGACTAGGAAAAAAAATATTTATAATCCATTTTCTCCCTTTCACTTCCTTCCCCCCTAACCCTCTGCCTTTCTCCTATTGAGAGAAAGGCAAATTTAGTGGGAATGCCCCTTCTTCACCCATACCTTAAGTGACATGCTATCTTTTGTGGCTGCTTTTCCTTTAACATTGTGCTTGTGAGTGCATGTCAATGTGGTTGGGCCTGAGAAATGTTGATGTGTGGAAGACGTAAATATGGGAAGGTGTTGCACTTGGCTGTGCCTACTCCTGAGGAATTCCTTGAGCAAGATTTGGTCCTTGGTAGCTTTCCCCCTGTACCTTAGAGAGAGTTGTAGAGACAAGGCCAATTCGGTTTAGCCATGTAGAAACTTCTCTGCTTGTCCCATTATATTGGAAGAATTAAGTTACCTGACTCCTTTTACCATGGAAACCTTTCCATTGCATTGCCCCAGCCCCTTAGTGTATTTTCAGGGGAATGCCCCAAGGAAAGAGAGGGACGGAGAACTTCAGATAGTTTCTGATAAACACATTTTAGGGCTGCGTGTGATGACTCACTCTTGTAATCTCCATACTTTGGGAGGCTGAGATGGGTGCATTGCTTGAGCCCAGGAGTTTGAAACCAGCCTGGGAAACATGGCAAAACTCCATCTCTACAAAACAAAAACAAAAACAAAAACAAACCCACAAAAATCAGCTGGACAGGGTGGCATGTGCTTGTAATCCCAGCTACTTAGGAGGCTGAGGTGGGAGAATCACTTGAGCCTGGGAGGTCTAGGTTGCAGTGAGTCATGATCATGCCACTGTGCTCCAGCCTAGGCACCAGAGTGAGACTCCGTCTCAAACAAAACAAAACTAAACAAAACAAAACAAAAACAAAAAAAAAAAACCCCACAAATTTTGCAGCAAGTTTGTCCAACTTCTGTTCTTACCTCACAGAAGCTAAGTATTAGCCAACCGATTTGTTAACCTGCTCTTGGCCTAATCTCTTTTTCTTTCTGGAAACCCTTCTGTCTGTTCAGGCCCAGTACTATAAGCCTCTGAAGGCCACTGCACTGCAGAAATTCCTGGCTCAAAACAGGAAAACCACCAGCTTCATGTTAAAAGTAACAGAGTATGACCAGGATAAGACCTTACTGATTATGACCAACAACCCACCTCCCTGCTCAATCACCCATCAAGACAAGGAGAGTGCACCAAAGTACTTTTCCAAGGAGTTACTGCTCAAGGCCATGGTAAGCAGAAGCCTCCTGGAACCCGAAATGTGAACCCTGAAGAATTAGGAGTTAGCATTGAGAAGGAAGCTAACTTAACATGAAGAATAGTACTCAGAAAAGCAACTCTTACTTTGTTTGTTTGTTTGTTTGAGATAGGGTCTCACTCTGTCACCCAGGCCGGACTGCAGTGGCAAAATCATGGCTCACGGAAACCTAGACCTCTTGGGCTCAAACGATCTTCCCATCTCAGCCTCCTGAGTAGCTGGGGCTACAGGTGTGCACCACCATGCCTGACCACATTTTTTAAAAATTGTTTTTGTAGAGATGGGGGTCTCACTATGTTGCCCAGGCTAGTCTCAAACTCATGGCCTCAAGGGATTCTCCAGCCTCGGCCTCCCAAAGTGCTGGGATTATAGGTGTGAGCCACTGCACTTGGTCTATCTCTTCCTTCTTATTCCTGATCCTGTGCTTCACAAAACAGCATCTGGAGAACCTGGGATTCAGAATTCAGTAAGCTTGGGTACTGAAGCTTCATTGCAGGGAGAAAATGGGGTCTTCATTGGAAAGTGTTCCTCTTTGGTCAAAGATATTTAATTTGTAACTAACAAAGAGTAGACTAGCCACTCACTTTCTAGTTGAGAATAAAGTAGTAAAAGATGAGTCAGGAAATGAGGAATAAAAACGGTGATGAATATGTAAATGGGAAAGGAGTAAAGAATGATGCTTTGGTACACATTACTTTCGGGTTTCAGAGAAGGGAGTTTACCATCACAGTAGTCAAACCTTTGAAACTCCTTTATAGACTAAAGAAGCTCAAATTCCATTCAACAAGCAATTGCTAAGGATACAGTAAGCTAAAAACCAGAATATAAAGATGATTACAGGACAGTTTCTATCTTAAAGGAACTTGGAGTCTAATAGGAGAGAGATCAATAAATGAGATATGTAAAAGTAACAGAAGAATATACAAAATACGGAAGTAATGTAGAATACAGTATTTCTGTTGGGAAAAAGGGAGTGAGTAGGGAAGTGACCCATGACAAAAGAACAGGAAAATATCAAATCAGAGGAAAGTGCAAAGGTATGAAGACATGGGAAAATGAGGTGTATTCAGGAAGATGTAAGAGAGTAAATGGCAGGGCCATGTGCGGTGGCTCACACCTGTAATCCTAGCACTTTGGGAGGCCGAGGCGGGCAGATCACTTGAGATCAGGAGTTTAAGACCAGCTTGGCCAACATGGGGAAACCCCATCTCTCCTAAAAATCCAAAAATTAGCCACGTGTGGTGGTGCATGCCTGTAGTCCCAGCTGCTCAGGAGGCTGAGGGAGGAGAATCCCTTGAACCTGGGAGGTGGAGGTTGCAGTGAGCCGAGATAGTGCTATTGCATTCCAGCATGGGCAACAGGGCGAGACTCCATCTCAAAAAAAAATAATAATAAAATAAAAAATTTTAAAAAACAGAGAGTAAATAGCAGGAGACAAAAAGATGTACTCAAACAAATTTGCATTTTAGGAAGACTGTTTTGGAGGTTGAAGAAAGGTGCATTAGTAATTGTGGAGGAGACAAAACCCAGAAAGATAAGTAATGATGTTACTAAAATAGTCAAGGTGAGAGACACTGAAGACTTGAACTACATCATTAGCGAGGAAGTAGAGAAAATTGAATTAAGAAATATTTAAGAATCAAAACCTGGCTGGGCACAGTGGCTCACGCCTGTAATCCCACCACTTTGGGAGGCCGAGGCGGGTGGATCACGAGGTCGGGAGATCCAGACCATCCTGGCTAACATGGTGAAACCCCGTCTCTACTAAAAATACAAAAAATTAGCTGGGCGTGGTGGCAGGCGCCTGTAGTCCCAGCTACTCGGGAGGCTGAGGCAGGAGAATCACTTGAACCCAGGAGACGGAGGTTGAGGTGAGCCGAGGTTGCACCACTGCACCCTAACCTGGGTGACAGAGTGAGGCTCCATCTCAAAAAAAAAAAAAAAAAAAAAGAGAGCGGGTCTAATCTACCAAGAATAAATTAAATAAATGAGTTAAGTGAAAGTGCAAACAAAGGATTCTAGCAGAAATTTTATGCTGGGCATGGGATTACCCAAGTGAGACCCTTATAATAAAATGTGGTGAATTTGGGGTTAGTGTTTCCATAGTTGCTAGATGGATGACAGTGAGAGATTCTCCTTCAAGTGGAAGATAAAATGCTAATATCCAATGGCATATACTAACAAAGGAGTTAATGAATTTACTGCATGTGGTCTCTTAGGTCTCAGAATTTGTGCCCTTTTAAGGTAAGCTCAGTGGTAGTTTCTCATGGCAGTGGGTGAACCATACATTGAGAAAGGGATAAATGCCAGGCCAGGATTGCCCTGCTTAATGTGCAGAAGGAAATACAAAGCTATCATGTAAACTGGGTGCAGGAAGAGCTTTCTTCCAATAGCCTGTGCACTCTGTGAACCCTCCAGTTCAGATGCGGAACCTAATCATATTGATGAGGAAATTGTGGTACCAGTTAAATTGTACTAATGGATAGAGTTAAGGCTCAAAGACCAGCACCATGGTACTTTTATGGGGCTATCTGACTGGAACAAGCCCAAGAAGATTGAAACGTCTGATATCTACCATGCCTCTTTAATATTCCTGCAGCATCCTTTCCTTCCCTTGATGGACAAATGTGATAATCTTTTGTAAACCTGGAATCATATACAAGAAAAGCATTCTTTGCTATGCCCAGGTATGCATCCAAAAAGAGAGTGAGTTCTAGTAGGCAAGTTGTGGAATGTACTAGATAGATCTATTACAGTGATTGTTATACTAACAGCCCCTTCTAAGTGAAACTGACCCTACCACAGTCTCCTGAGTAAGGGAACGTCCTAAGAAGTTCTAGTTGGTACAGTATAACCCTGTCCCCACTCCTAGCTGAGACCAGAGGAGGATATGAGACTGAGCAAAGCAAACTTCATAGGCTGGGTAGTGACCTGTGATGTGGATTGGTACCCTAAAACCAAAACAAACAAAAAACACATCAAAACAAAAACCAACCAACCTACCAACACCCAGAATCCCCGAGCTAATCAGATTCTTGTTTCCAGGCCTCTGAATTGAGAAATGAAAAGATTGAAGCAGTAGCAATGAAAGCTGAAAGGACACATAGAGTGGGACTAGAAAAGCCTCAAACCGGCCTGGCGCTGTGGCTCACACCTGTAAGCCCAGCACTTTGGGAGGCCGAGGCGGGCAGATCACGAGGTCAGGAGATTGAGACCATCCTGGCTAACATGGTGAAACCCCGTCTCTACTAAAAATACAAAAAATTAGCCGGGCGTGGTGGGCACGATGCCTGTAGTCTAGCTACGCGGGAGGTAGGCAGGCGGAATTGTTGATCTGTGGAGGTGGGTTGCAGTGAGCTTGAGTTGCCGCCACTGCATCAGCCTGGGACACAGACTCGTCCCCCAAAAAAATAAAATATAATATTGAGCTCGAAACCAAAGTAGTGTAGTAGTGTAAAAGCTCATGAGTAGAGTTGGAAGCTGTAGTTATAGGGAGTAGGAATGAAGTAGAGCAAGCAGAAGCTATAGATAGAAAAAAAAACCAGGCACACAATATCTGTATGTTATTTGTGTATGGGAGTAAAGTGACAAAGGTAGAGGGAGGAGAAAGGGAAGAAGGATGGGAAAGACAAGTAGGATGAAACATGTGGTGATGTCTTGCATGAGAGCAGTTGGTCTTCGCTAGGTGATCTTGGATTCCAAATACTTTTCGTTACTGTTTTTTGTGATATGAGTCAGTTCCTGTTGGCTTGTTCTGTGGATTTATCGTTATTACTTAGTTACTAGGCAATGTGCCTCTTACGGTAAACACCGTATTTAAGATACTCAAATGTGTTTCTTCCCTAAATTAATTAGGTGGTGCAAACAGTAACTGCAGCTGTTGGATGTTCATAATTGCAAACTGCAAGTACTTTTGCACAACATATACAAGGAGCTTAATAGGAGGTAATGTGCAGAATTGAAAAGATGCATGGGTTCATTGAAGGCGGGATGACACCAAAATGGCTTGTAAGATTCTGATAGCAAAAGCGTCAATATGTGTGTATCAATTAGTTGGTCATTTATTATTCACCAATAAATCTATTTGTGGATTACTACTAATGTGCCAGGACTATTAGGGTGTGCTAGGGATATATTAATCAGCTAATATCAGTCTGTTTGCTCTGAATGAGCTTAATTCAGTGTACTTACGGACATAACAAATGATCACAGCAGATATGTATAATGTGCTGAATGCATGACAGCAGGATAGGAGGATTAGAA